TTTTGTTTTGTCAGAGATGGTGTTCCATTGTTATTAGAGAAACTGTATTTGGAGAAGTCATTAAAAGACCTTTTCATACTTGATGCCAGTTCAAATATTGTAGGTACTTGAATTCAGCAAAATAGCCCAATATGGTCCAACAGTCCATAACAGTAGTGGGCTGTCCGCAGAGCTGGAGAGTGTCACCTGTGGACCGGAGCCTTTTACACTCAGCTTATTACTTTTTATACCTGGTGGTAATACTTTTCTGCTGGATGGTTAAGACCAAGTTAAAGCAAGAGCTATATAACTAAAAATGTAACTTTTGCATCTGACAAGGTCAGTGAAATCCCCTCAGGATTTACCCTGAAACCTGTGTCGTAGTTTGTATATCTTTTTATCAGTGTCAGCCATGTGGATGAGTCACGGCCATTGCTTGATCAATTTGCTCTCTGTGAAAGCCTGAGAAAAAATTTTCTCTCTAAGTGACTCTCCTTAGGCACATTCTACATTATCGATCTCCTTCCTCTGTGACTCCATAATCTCCCTGATCAGAAAATTTGGGACACCACTGAGTTACAATATGTTACAGTACACGTTCTCCCATGTCCTGAGGCCTCATTGACCTTGAAGGGCTAGGGCCAAAATATTGGCTATCCTTGTAGCCCCTCTTTTTCTCTAATTTTTGGTCTGCAAACTTTAGTTATTAAACATCCAGAAGAGAAGCTTAATGATATTATTACCCTGAAATAGAGGAAGTTAAACTTAACATCACTGTCTGAATATGCCTTAAACATAACACAGAACTGCTATTTTCCAACAACCATGGATATTCTAAACTTTAAACCCCTGGGCTGGGGCTGGTGAGATGGCTCAGTGGTCTAAAGCACCTACTTAGAACAAGCTTAGCAAAGCACAGGGACTGCAGTTCAATCCCCAGCACCACATGCCAGCCAGCCCCGCCCCCTGGTGAGCTGAGCTGGCCACAAACACAGAAATAAATAAATAAAAATAAAAAAAAAAAAAACCCTGGGCTGGGGAGATGGCTCAGTAGAACAAGCACTTGCCTGGCAAGTGCAAGGTCCTGAGTTCAATCCTCAGTACCGCCAAAAAATAAATAATTAATTAAATCCAGATAGAATGTGAAAAAAATTACACATTTTTACACAGAAATTTAGAAACCAAGCCATATACAACATTGTAGCAGGATAATCCTATGACTTTTTTTTTTCTTGTCTCTTGTTTTCTTTTATTGTCTTTTTTTTAAACAAACATTTACTTTAAAGAGAGTATAGCAATACTTGATATGACACTAGAAGCAGTACGTATTTAGAAGACCAAAATGATACGTATTTCAAGCATGGCTTTAGTATTACACTTTGCTATCCTCAGTGTAGTTACTTATTCCACAGATATCAGTATATAGAGTTAGTCAGGGTGAGAATTCTACCCATTAACTGCTATTTTCAAAAACCTGATGGAGATTCTTAGGACCATTGCCTTAACCATCTTGTTTACATAAATGTATGGTTTTGCCCCTGCCATATTTCTTGACTTTCCTTTCTCTCTCTTCATTGTTTAATCCTTAAGTTCTCTCTTTCCATTTGACTGTGTTATACCTTTCAATTTTTATTTCTTCTTTTGAGTTCTTACACTAAGGAGACTATATGATATTTACACATGTGGGTCTGGTGCATTTCACTTTTGAGTATATCTTCAAGTTGCATCCACTTATATATGAAGGCTTCAAATTTATTCTTCTTTATAGCTGAGTAATACTCCATTGTATAAAAACAACACATTTTTTAATCAGTTCCTCAGGTGACAGGCATCTTGGTTGTTTCCAAGATTTGGCTGTCACCAATTGTGCTGCTATAAACACAGGCGCACATATATCAGTATGATAGGATGTTTTCGATCCTTTTGGGAAAATTCCCAGAAAGAAGAGAACTGGATTGAATGGGATTTACAGTCCCAGTTTTGTAAGGAGTCTCCAAACTGATTTCCATAATGGTTGCACTAGTCTTTGGGGAATATAGTTTTAAGCACCCCACTACAGGCCATCTATATCAGACTGTAGGTCTTCTAAAGATAATATGGAATTTACATCCCCCTTTTTTTTCCTCCTTCCAGTACTAGGTACTGAGCCCAGGCCCCTGCACACTGAGCACCATACCCCACTCTCCAGCCCTTTTTCATACTTAATTTTGAGACAGTCTCTTCCCAAATCCTTAAATTGCCCAGAGTGAACAATTTGCAGCCCTACTGCCTCAGCCTCCTAGAGTGCTGGGAGGAATTTACCACCTCTTCAAATAGTGTACAGTCTATTAGCTGAAGCATAGTCATGTTGTTAGGAACTAGAGCTCCAGAACTTTTCATCTTGCAAATCTGAGACTCTGTCCATGAACCCCACCCCCACCCTGGGACCCTAGAATGTGAGTATTCAGGGTGCCTCATGGAAGTGGGATTTTACAGATTGTTTAACTTTCCTCTTCTGTACCTACTTGCTTGACCACTTCAGTGAGGAGCTGTTTATCCATGCAAAAAAAAAAAAAAAAGGAGGAACCTAACACGCAGCTCTATGGCTCGCCTTCTTTCCTGCCTTGCCTGGTACTTCCATGAGTTCAGTCTGAACTTTCCTGCCGTTTAATACACTTTCACTTCTGTATCTGTTGTTTCGTGCTGGCAGTTTCTAGGGTCACTCTAGATGGAGGGGAGAGGAGAGCACTACGCGCCTTCCCTCGTCTCTCCGCCACCGGCTCCCCCTTGCTTGGTGTGATCTTCAGTTTTCTGTGTCCAGGGGCTGGGCTGAGTGTGCGCAGATACGTGCGTGTTTTCTCAGGGCATTGACGAAGCAGGAGACTGCACGGGATCCCGAACAGAACAGACAAGACACAGAGTAATGGGCCACAGAGCAGTTTACCGCCAGTGTCCCTGTGGGAACGAGTGTCTACCCAAGAGCAGAGCACAAAGCTGGGTTGCTACTTTTATATTATTTCCATCCTATGGGGCAGCTCTTCATTGCAAAGCAGCACAAAGCAAAGCCACAACGCGGAAGCAGTGGTCACAAGGAAACGAACAGTGGCCGGCGGGCAAGGCCTCGCCATGTCTGCTGCGCCCCATTGACACCTCACAGCTGAAGCCACAGGGCCGGGGTCCAGCCCACCCATCCATCTCCGCGGGAGCTCAGCGCCAGCAGTTTCCCCAGGCGGCATAGCTGCGTGGTTAAGCCGTCGCTGTCCAGTTCCACCCCAGGAGGTGGTCTGCCCTCACTGACCCCTGAGATCAAGCGGGCTGTCAAGCGGACTGGGGAAAGCAGATGGCCCTTCCTAATGGGAAAGCCTTCGAAGAAGAAAAGGGCTGATCATCCCTGATGACTGACTCAAACATCCAGTTTTTTTCTGTTTCTAATTTAGTGGCCTCTTCTTCTTCTTCCTCTTTACACATTTATTACAGGGTCTACAGGCTCTCACTATGTCAATCAGACTCACAGTCATCCTCCTGTTTTCAGCCTCCCAAGTGCTGGGATTACAGGCGCGCACCATCATACCCATCTCAGCGAGCCCTGGGGACAGGGCCAGCACGGCACACCAGGAATTGAATCCTGGCCACTGCGCTTTGCCTAAGCAGGTATTTTAGTCCTCTGAGCTATCTGGCCAGCCCTACCAGACTGCCTTTGAACTTAGTATATAGTCCAGACTGGCCTCAAACTCACAGTGATCCTCCTGCCTCAGCCTCCTGAGTGCTGGGATTACAGGTGTAATCATGTCCAGCAAACTGAGGCGTTAACTCTTCATGGGTCTCCAGCACGACAGCTTTTAAGCTGGAACCACATCATGGGCCCTGGTCGACTTCAGCCCTTTCCATTTGGACGGAAACGAAACCATCCACATCCAGGTGGCTCCAGCCTGCTTCCTGAGCCTGCAGATCTTGGATCGCGTGGGTCTGGGTAATCACGAGTCAGTGTCTGTCTAGCTAGCGCCGTCTCGCCCTGCCAGCAAGCCCTCTTAAGTGATCATTTGCAGCCAGCTGAACACCGGTTCCCAGACAAACATGCATTTTGGTGTAAAGTTCAAACTTGAAAATTAACGTGGACTGAAGGGAGCCGCTTAACACAGTGGAGGCCTCTGCTGCCA